ACGGACGTTTTACGTTTGGTAAGAAGACGCTACTGTCCGGCTGTATGTCGATATGGTTCGTCCGCTGTTAGTATACAGGACACCAGCCTACTATCTCCAAACAGTAGATGAGATAAAAAAAACGTGGAAATACCACATTTCGCCACTCGCTTAATTCCTACGTTTCGTGGCCTGCCCAACCAACAGAGGTGCCAACAATTGCAACTTCAGACACTGGTATACAGGAGGCTAAGGATTACTGTCACAATATTCAGGTTCCTTCATCTGCGGCACTTTCCTCATTTGAGATATATGATCTGAGCACGAATACATCTACCACCCAAGGACATGTTTTTACAAACTGGAGATCTCACGTATGGAACTCGTTTTTAGTATTTATTTTTTGCTCGGTACGTGATAAATTTCTGGAACTGGTTACACAGTCCTCTTGTTATCGCAGATTCCGTACAGGGTCTAAAGCAAAAATTTGACACCCATTTTGCAGACCTATGTTTTGATGACGAGGCCATGTTCAACCTCTTCTCGTTGTTTGGATATGTGACGTCTTCACTATCAGGTTTGATGGACCGATATACTTATCATCGTTGTGCTATGTTTGTGGTCTGTCCCTATTTATTGTCTTACCAATGAACACTAAGTGTGACTTTACACAGACCGACATTCAGCATTGGTCGTTTTTGTTTTTACTTATGATAGAGGACACGTAGTTTTTTCCCCTTAATACAGTACTTCTGATTCTATCGACTATGGGCTATTTGGTACTAATTGGTACCCACTAATATCAGTGTAATTGCGGAAACAAAGCGAACCTATTCATATCCATGCCTCTTTTAAAGACTTCCATCCCATTACATTCCACTAGTGTATGAGAAAGTAAATTCCAACTACTTACCACGCGAGTACTGAAAAATTTCACCCGGATATTCAGTCTGGACCTCTGCTTCATGTGCCCCAGATGGTTTCCCTTCAGGTGGTCCATCATAACTAGTCCAAAGAGATCGATAAACTTAATACCGCTGTGACTCTTCATAATCTTAAACGTTTCTATCAGCTCTTCCCTTAATCTACAACGTTCCAATAAGAACGAGTCTAAACAAGCCAGTCGGTCCAATATATGAATTCACTTTGGCCTTCATTCTGGTGGACTTTTTACTTGAAACACTGCACCCCATGACAGCTGTTTCTACCTTTTGGGTCTCGTCATTGGTGCGCGTTCCTCGGAATCCTGCCGAGTTCCAACCCAATGACTTCCGGATGCCAGCAGCTTGTGCCACTAAGCCATGAGGGACACAAAATATGGAATGCTTTACGATTGCGTGTCATCCTTTCTCACCGCCCATGCTCATCTGGACCGTTCCAATTTAGTATATGTACCGCCGAAGTGAGTACAAAGGGATATCCTTTCTGCTCTCTACAACCCAATGAACCAATCTCGTTTTCGATGTTGTTAGATCAGCCTTTTACGGTTCGTTTTTAAGCCATCCATCCATTCACCCCAGGCTTGGTCCTCCATCGGCAGTCATCACAACGGGGTCCAGCTTGCCAGGTGTAATTCAGCTGCACCCTCTCTCCAGCTCCGACTCTTACTAGGTGGTTCTGGTGAAGCTATCCAGTCGCCTACGAAGCATCTATTTTGCCATTTAGCGCCCTTGGTCTTCTATGGCCAAGTTATAGAAGAATTACAGATACTGCGATACTTGCTGGTAATCTGAATGCCCAGATCGGAAAATTGTCCACCGATGAGCTTCATCTGGGGGACCAACATGGTGTAAGTTCACGTAATGATAACGGTGAGCGATTGCTACACCTGTGTGAAGATGCTCGTCTCTCTCGTGAACACTAACTTTCGACATAACACCGGTAGAAGAGTGACTTGGCTCCCACCAACTTCGGACCAGCCATGGACGCATATCGATCAGTTACCGCTGGCGAGGCTGCGCCTAAATGCCGCTGAATTTGGAGCACGAGCGTGGACTCCACTCACGCGTTTCGGCGGATGTCCGCAACATCGCTTGGAGCGCACTGATACCAGCCAACACGCGAAGACAGTTGTTCTTAATGCGTATTAAAGTACGCTGCAATCCTGGCTGAGCAAGCACTCACTGAACACTGTTGCAGGTCACTAGTCGCATCTTCACCAGATGCTGTTATCAGCAGGCATGTCTTCATGTGGCATTTCAAGTTGCCAACCTAGACATGGAGTCTTTACACAGTCTGGGAGTTGTGGATATTTTCCAGCTGGAAGCGAAAGTAATGAGACTCGCAAAATCTAAGGGAGAAACCATGCTAGCCTAGAAGAGACAGCGAATCCTGATAGTTTCATTGTACGTCCGAGGTGGAAACAGCCGCTACCATTGGCAACCGTCGTAAGTTATTCCGTCTGATACGCGAAACAGGTAGCAGGAGACCTGGTGTTAGCAAGACCGTAGAGGACGAGAGTGGACAGCTGATCCACAACTTGCCAAAACGCTCGGAGCGTTGTACTGAACACTTTGCAAAGCAAGTTAACCAACCTGATTAATAACTTACTTTTACGGGCATTGATTGCCGTTCTCCCTGGGCCGTCTCCTTGGATCCGCCCTCGTGCGCAGAAATCAAAAGTAAGCTTTGACTGTTGAAAGTGCACAAGGCTGCAAAGGCAGACTTTCCCCAATCCTCATCAAATTCCGGGGACCTGCTCTTCTAAATTATTTGCACAATTTACTAGTGAAGCTGTGGGAGCAGGAGACTGCCCCAACAGATTGGAGCCGCTCCGTCATACTCCCAATATCCAAGGAAGGCTCACGTTCGTAATGCGGCACTCATAGAGGAATCACTCTGGGCACAATTGACTAACTTGCATCTGTCGTTCCCCACAGACTGGTTGGTGCTCTTGAAGGTCAGAGTCGTTATTAGCAAGCCAGGTTTCATCGAACTAAAGACTGCATCGATCACAACTTTACTTTGCCTCAGTTGTTGGACCACCGCCATATTTATTGGTGACCCACCGTAGTCATGTTTCTTGACATCGATGGTGCCTTCGATTAGGTGTATCGATGTGCCCTTTGGAACTATTTACTCAGGAAAGGTGTGCACTATATATACGTAAACATTATCAGTGCACGGTACTCGCATATTTCGGACAGAGTATGGTCTATGGCAAATTGTCGTCGCCTTTCAAAATCTCCAACGATGTAAGACAAGGTTGCCTGCTGTCACTTTTCCTTTTTAACTTCTCCATTGACAAAGTCATGAAAACAGCGTCCGCTAAACACGAATAAAGGCGTGCAGCTGCTTCTTGGTGAGCGATTTGTTGATATGGAGTATGCTGACGACGCTGCTCCTATCCGTGATAGCTCCCAAACGTTCCAGTCAGCACTGGACAGATTAGCATTGGATGTCAATCGTTTTGGGTTTTGCTTTGCTCTCTCTAAATGCAAGAACTCACCCTTGCGCTGACCCTTGGTGGGGATCAGTTAGAGGTCGTTCATGAACTCAAGTACCTGGGCAGCTATATTAGCGCCAGTAGAATCGAATGTCACAAACCGTAGACAAAAGCCAATCTCTGGCAACTGTGGCACCGACACGACATCACCCTTGCTCTGAAGGGCAGAGTTTATAATGCAGACGTCCACTCAACCCTCCTATACGGTTGCAAAATCTGACCCATCAGATCGACAGACATAAAGAGACTAGTTACGCTCGACCATCGCTGCCTTCGCAGCATAGCTCATGTCTGGTGGGGGCACTACGTGAGCAATGAATGTTTTCCATGTGTATTTAGCGTAGGAAAAGCGAGTAAACCACTCAACATCATTATATCGCGCACCAGGCTCCGATGACTGGGCCACGTGTTGCGCATGCCAGCATACTGACTCCCGCGTCGTGCGTCTTTTGCGCGCCCGGGGTGTGGATGGAAGAGGAGGAGGGCAGACCAAGCGATGACTTAGTCATAAGAAATGCAAATCCACCCCCCGAACTTGGCGTCGGCTGGTGCATCCCAAAGACGATGAAGATGTTTAGTTGGATACACTTGCTTGTATGGAGAACAGCCGACCCATTGGTGTTTACGTTGTGAGTTCCTTTGTCCACACCCTCCCCTTTAGATCCCCCTTCATACACATTCTTGTAGTATCATAGAACGCCAGAGAGAGACCAACGAGTAAGGAATCATGACCTGGAGATTCAGCATTTATTCGTCTGTGAATGTAGACGAGAGCTGAAAGTATAAAGAACAGGGAAAGTATATTGGCAACTATAAATATGGAGGGGAATACTACCACATTCTACCCACCGCAGTTTTGAAGAATGTGCGTAGCAAAAGTGGGTTGTGTTGATGGCAGAAACAATGTATGATGACAGTTGCTGGACATGATTGCCTCGTGTGTAATAAAGTTTCACAGGAGTAAAATGAGCTAATGTTTAGGCTTCTCGGTTTCTGAGGCAGTATGGACGCACGTGCTGTTGACGGGTCTCAAGTTCGCTCCTTGTAGACGGCGTTTCGTAAATTATTTTTTCTGCTACATAGTAGCCGGCTGCTAGGTTACCGAAACGATGCCCATCCGTTACCGGTAGCTCAGTTGGCTTGCACCTGTTGCATTTGTTCTCAATTTTTCTTCTATGTATGGCGGCACAGTAGCTGAAGTGTTTCCCACCTCTAGCTAACGTGTATAATGATGAGGATGATGACAATAGCAGTGTTTTCGGGCGAGCAGTCCACCATTTCTATATGCTTCAGCGCTACCGTCCAAGTGCTCGGACTGACCTAGATTCACTTCAATGCGCGTCGCATTTCAATCACATTGCGAGTACTTCAAACCCACCCTCCAATTTAATATTGGCCGAATAAATCATGTTTGCTACACGCTACGTTCTGTTTGACCTCTTACTGGTGTGTCGAGTCGCCAAACCACTGCGGTGTCTTATATTCCTATTTTCACAATTAGTCCATTGATTGTCTTTTTTAATTTTAGTACATTACGCGCTACACCGTATAATCTGACGATCCGGTCAACACATCTATGGGTGTTGGCTTCCGACCTCGTGGCTCTGGTGGCTTCCGAGGCAGGCGTGGTGGTTCCAGTTTCCATCAAGAAAATCAAGGACCCCCGGAAGAAGTAGTGGAGGCTGGTACTTTTCTGCATCCTTGTCAAGAAGATATCATATGCCGGCTTACAAGCGAGAAGATCCCTTACTTCAATGCACCCGTTTATCTCCACAACAAGGAGGAGATTGGTAGGGTCGATGAGATCTTCGGGCCGATCAGAGATGCAGTACGCTATTTATCCGTTTACTTTTTTGTAGTACTTTTCAGTGAAGCTCTCAGATACCTTGAAATCGAAATCTTTCAAGGAAGGTGTTAAAGTACAGTGTAGCAGTTTTGTGATCATTTTTTGCAGTTCTACATCGATCCTTACAAATTCCTATCTCTGGATCGAGTGCTTAACCCTGCTTCTAACCGAGGTGAGCGTACCTTACTGTAAGAGAACCCACTCGTTCGCCATCAGCGAGTTTATCCGCTTTCCCAGTGTTAGCATACTACCTTTTCAACAGACTGGACTTGATCATTGTGATAATCTTGACATTTTGTTTCCGCTTATGTTGGCTTGTCGAATCGAACTGCTATGTCATCGTTCATCCTGGTGGTTTTTACGACAGCTAACTTCCTAACTTTACGTGCAATCAGTGTCGGTTCTGATTGTCTTTCCATTGCGTTATGTGCACGGTTTGATATTACATGTCTGGCTGCACTTGATGTGAGTGTTGAAGGATTTCTTGCTCCTTCTATGGTACCACTTCGGTTGTGGCTCCGGCACTATGCTTGTCGTTAATTGGGAGGCGCGACGCAACAACATTCCATCAAGAAATGTTCTACGGCTCAGCCATCGCCATGCGCGTCCGACTCACACGTCCCACTTGTTTATATCAGTTTTTTATTCTGGTGGGGTGGATCGGCTTCAACTCACTGGTGACCCCGTCCGTATGCATCTGTATTCTATTCCCACAACTTTAACTAGTTTACAGGTGGAGTTGCATGGTTCAGCGCGACCAGTCCATACTCTCACTATTCGCTAGTACCTTATCGCTGTTCTCAGTATTACAATGGTTTCTTGAATTCACTACCTACAGTAGCAGCAGCGAACGTGTAGACATCTTGTTAACACACGGAACGCAACACTGTCATCTTCACAAGTAGAGCGCGACCACGGAAAAGACGCATCATTATCCGCAGCATCCACATGGATTGGTATAGTTCGACCACACTGATGCCCCGTTAAATTGCTCTTTGCTTCGCGTTTTATGTTTCCGATCATTTCCATGATTGACCGACTTCGGCACACGCAGGAAAACGTGCGGTAGCACTATGTGGATGACGACGAGTTGGTATCCACAGGCATCTGCTGCTTTGTGTATCGGGCGTTTTCGTCCCAAATTCGCTTGTATTTTTGTGCACATTTTTCGCACCAGGATTTTCGACACTAGCCTGCAAATAAAACCAATAATAGTTCATGCCAGATTTAAATGAATAATGTCCTAATGCCACATTTACTATTCACCTTTCTCTTTATTTCATCTTATTGATCATGCTGTTTTTTATATCTTGATGATGTTCTTTCCTCAGACATGCATAAGCCATTTAATCCGCTCATATGATTCTGTTTTGTCAGACAGGCCTTTCGGTCATAGTAATGGAACTTGATCATAACGTATTGCGATTGTTCGCATGCTGCAATCGATCGAGCCACACTGAATAGCATTTAGGAGATTTCTAAGGTCCGTGGAGCTTTTCTGTGCCTTGACTCAAATCTATGAGTGATACGTAAGTTCGTCCATTATTTAATTGGAGGGTGCCTGTTTTACTTGGATCGCCTTCACCGGCTCGGTCGTATGTCTGCTAGCCGATTGCGTCGATGTGCTTTGTTTGCCAACAATACGTCTAGTCGGGTGGCACCCTGCAGTGGTCAGTAGCATGGCAACGCGTATGAAAAAAAACACCGAAAGACTGAGTTTGGTGAGTGCTTGCCATCTTTGATCTGATCCTCGGGATCGACCATATCAGTGACTGGACACATTGGATATGTCACAGTTACCGAGTCGGTAGCACTCTTGAATTCTTTTGTTCACCTCGAACTCCTATTCATTCTGTCTGACGATTTAATATCTTGTTTCTTGTTATCGTTTATTTTGGTGACATGTTTCGAAGCAACTGAATCAGCCGTTCCTTGGTGTGCTGTTCATAGTTAATAAATTAGGCTGAACTGGACTAAGTATCTGCAAGCCAACTCACACTTGACTTGGTAAATGTTTAAGGGCCAGATTTTACTTAGTCTCAAAATTCCTATTGTTTTACTATGTCGTTGATTTCGTTCCCCCGAAACACTTGAATATATTGACGAGATTTTACTGGAATTCTCGTCAAGTTATATAGTCTATAGCAAGCAAAACGAACCCCGTCAAAGTTCAAATGCCATTGATCGTGACCGCAGGTCGCTGCTTGTCAGCCGTATACGTCAGCGTGTACTATTCGCGAGAGTTGCACTATCGCCACCTTGCTCAATTTGCGGTTAGGTCGAGTGCCTTTTCGTGCATCTGGCTAAGTAATGTTTGTGCTCTGCTTTGAACGCGATTTTCTTAAGCTAGTCTGTAGTCTGCACCTGGGCGCTTGAACAATAAAGCTTGCTTTGTGTTAGTGAGCGACAGATGGGCACCTCATTTTTGTTTGGCTGCAATTCCCCTCCGCCCCCCTCCCCGTAGCAGTTGGGGAGGAATTGTCGTGCTACTACCACTTTTCATACGAGTGTTATCAAGGCTAACATTTGCTTGTTGGCTGTCTCGTAATTCTCCAAGAGTCCAAGCAATGTCTGGACAGCGATCAAAAGCTGTTATTCGCAAAACGAAGCATCATGTATACTATACAGAAATTGCACGTGCTATCTGGTTGCGACGGCTTCACGTCGGTCACTTCATTCTTGCGTCTTCTATATTCATCCATCCGGAGGTTTTGCTCGTTCCAATCCACTGCTTTGTCTACGTCTACATCCACCTTGGCTCATGCTTAACCGCGTCTTTCTGGCCTGTGCGTTTGTGCTCAACGGGTGTGGGTTATATCTACTTTGCTTTCTCTTCACTAGCTGCTTGTCTCTACCCTTTGTTCGATGGGCCGGCCGCTGTCACATCGTTGATGCTCGGCATTTCGAGCCAAATCACTTCGACTTTGTTCGTGATAAGGCGATGTTTTGGTCACTTTATGCTGAGGCGATTCTGTTTTCTTCCTGGCTCTTACAAGTGCGCTCAACTTACTTCAGCAGCTACTGATTGGCCTCTTGTCTTCCTACATTGCTTCGGTCACCTTCATCTAAATGGCCATCTCCCACCACATTGGCTTTGACCTGAATTGTCTATTAGCATTAGAGCACTGTCTATTAATCCCGTTTGTTGTTGTTGCTCGTTGCACGAGCAGAAGCAACTTACATTTTATGTAAGTGCCGACCCCAATTCCCTGATCAGCTGCACCACTTTCCTGTGCCGCGTTGTTACTTGTGACACTACGCCTTTCTTAAAGATTGGAGAAACTCCCTTCTGTGCGCAATTACCTGTGCATCGTTTCTCAAGGCAGTTTATAAATGCACATTGACCTATCGCAATTGTTGCAATGAGTGAAGAGCGTCAGAACCGCTCTCTCTCTTGCCCTTAGTTCCTCTATCCACTTGGGCATGGATAAATTTTGTCTACTGCATTGGGATTAGAGGCTGTGTGATGCGGCATGCCAACAGACGTGAGCTACGAGTATTGAATAGAGTCGGGTCCATCCCATTTGCTACTATATTTTATGTGTCATTAACTAACTTGTAACTGAAGTCCGAACTGGTACCACACTGCTTCACACGATCACAGTGCACGTCCAATTCTCGCGAAACTGCCACCCCCGTAACTTATGGAGACGGTGAAGTGTTGGCCTATCGGCAAAAATTATGTGACACTGCAACGTGGATTATAGGCATAACGACTGCGCTTTTAGGGACTACTCTTTTCTAGCCTAGTGTAACTTAGAAGCATTGATTGTCTAATATGAACATCATGTAAGTAATACGTAATCTGACACCCGATGTCTAGAAACAAAATCTCTGCCTTCGATATGGACCATCCGCTTAACTTGTACCGTCTACGATGATTAGCTCGCGTTCTCCACGTAACAACCAGACATTTACTTTGGTATGCTTCTCATCCATAATCCACCTAGTTGAATGGAACCCCGCGGGGAGTGAGCAATAGTGAGGTGGAGCGTGCATCGGTACGGTCCTCCTTAGGTTAGCATCAGGATCGATCTCTTCACCGGGCTGAAACTGTATTCGGCTTGGTATTATCAATGCACTATAGTTTTCACAAAATTGGTTTGTTATTTCCATTAAATCTTGTGAAGTTTCCACCGCTATTTCCGATGTATATGGTTGGCGGTATCCGGTTTCGGTTTGCCTGTCACTGTGGCCAGCCACAAAACACCTGCGCCTACATAGAGACCATAGCTGGCTTGCGCTGCACCACCCACAGTTCCACCCACACACCCATATCCAGTGTAAACCCGAAGGAATAAGACCGGGACGCATGTGGATGGGAGCCAGGTTTCATCAACGGAGCCGGCCCACACTCCTTCACAGGCAAGCACAAGCACGCTGTATTTGGGGAATCAACTGAACACAATGCGGTGGCTGGCCCGTAGTCCGCTTCATACTGAGTGCATAGAACCACACTTCGAGCCTAGCACGACCACAAGGACCGTGCACCCTGTTCCCTCCAGCAACGATCAACTGTCTCCTGGACGAGGTAGTGGGTAATAGACAGGTAGGCACCTTGTCAACATGCACATCAAGCGCAGCCACATCGGGGATATCAAGCAACAGCCAATCACTTGAAACGACGATATCAAATGAAATAAATCTAAAATGCTTACAGATACGGAGACATAACTGTTCACTAAACGAGCATGTGAAATAAATTGGTTACGAGCCATATATATATATACATATACATATATATATATATATATATATATATATATATATATATATCCGTATCCGGATTTGCCTGTCACTGTGACCTCCACGGGGACAGTCACAGGATGACTGCGCCTACAGAGGGACTATGGGTGGCTTGCGCTGCATCACCCACAGTTCCATGCATACACCCCATATCCGGTCTAAGACCGGGAGAAATGTGGATTGGAGCCACGTTTCATCAACGGAGCCAGCCCACACTCCTTCAACAAGGAGAACAGAAGCATTCCGGCCTAATTGGGAAGTCATGCACACCAGACGTGCACATGGCAGTGGCTGGACCGTAGCCCGTTTCACACAGGATGGAAGCACTCTTTGAGCCTAGCACTGTCAAGAGGACCCTGCACCCTGTCCCCATCAGCAACGACCAACTGTCTCCTGGAGTCTGTATGGACGAGGTAGTGGATGATAGACAGGTAGGCCCCTTGTCGACATTCACATCATCAGGCGAAACCACATTGGGGAGCTCAAGCAACATCTGCATCTGAAATGTAAGGTTACTCAATACGCGGGAAACGTACCACATACGCCGCCTTACTGGCCTGGATTAGTAAATCGAATGGGAGCGTACCCATCGGGCTTCTGTTCCGCGTGCAATAGTGTCTTCTCCTGCATCTGAGCAACCTCTCTTTTTACTAGTCCGCAGAATTCGCATCGATCAAAATTTGCGTTGGGTTCGCAACACCCGTTATCAACATCAATTTGTCATAAACTCACCTTCTTTATGTTCTGGAAATGTTATTTTCGGTTTGCCCTCGTGCCGTTTCCATACACTCAGTTGGCCATACAAAAGCGGTATGAGTATCTTCGTCGAACTCGTTCGCTATACATATATAGATGGATTGGGGTCATCCGTGTCCAATGGCAGTTCGAATACAACATATGCAGATGCGTTTATCCAAACTGAAGTGTAAGCTATCACAAACTGGATAGAGACACATTAGACCTCATGATCAATGGTACGACAAACGTGTATGGGTTTCGTTTGGAGGGCCGGCTAACAACCACTTTCGCAGGCATGAGAAGAACTACCCAATACGAACTGTTGATGTTTTCTTCAAAATTTAGACGTGACAGTCTTAAATCTTGGGCATCCATATTTGAAGGAACCCGATATCGCAATAGTGAAACAACTGCTAGGTAGAAGGATAACTAAACAAGCGGCACAGTAAAATAGTATGCACTTAGGTGTTGCCGTACATATGTACAGTCTGTTTTGCGTAGCTGATGGGGGAGGTCGCACAGCATGCGAATGCGTCCGTCTCCGTGTCGCCCATCGGTCCGGTCATCTGCTTCCCGCGGTACGTGCACATTCTCAAAGAACGATTGATGCGCAATCTTTGATATTAACAGGTGACATCAACTAAGTCCAGCCGCCCACTGTCAATCATGCGACTTTCCAAACAATGTTCGCATTGTTTTGCAAATGTCCAACTATTCAACCGTTTGTACATGCCCATGTGTACTCTGTTGTGACCATAAGCGATTTGATAAAGATCTGCATCGTACGTGTCCGATGCAGCCATTTGGTGCTCATAAAACGATGGTCGCTATACGCCGACACTGACATACTATTCCCGTTGGGTTTAGCATTTTGCTTCGTCTATCCAACAGATTGGCCATGTGCAATGCAACTTCTGATAGGCCTCTCTGTGCTTCCGCATTGCATCCGCTTAGTACATGCGTTTTCACAAGTCCCGGTACATTCAGTATGGCTGATAAACAACTGGAAATATAACTATGCTCACTCTCATCCCTAACCTGCGGAGCGTAACTAGAACTGTCGACATCGTGATAATCGCTAGTCGGTTAATTGTCGGGATTGTTCACTTGCCACAGAATTTCCAGGGAAATTTCTTTTCGAATGCATAGCCTAACGTGATCACACGAAGAACAATCGTGTCAAACTTTACACTATATGCGTACTGTAAACGGCCAAGCGTTGGTAACCTCTTGATTCAAACGTAACCATCAAACTGGAGACATTCTCAATAATTTGCCACCCAAACATTCATGCTTATCAACCACACAATTCGCTCGGAAACTCCGCGCGCACCTCAAATACGAATGAGCTCATGGATAGACTGAACCATTATTAGATGTGGCTCACCCGTTCTAGACAGGTGCAATAAAGAGACTGCATTGCACCAAGTCAGTAGTTACTCATTCTAGAATGAAATTGTACCGAAGCGCGAGTTACATGCGGGAAATAGCATGAAGAACAAAACGAAAATGACGGTGACGGAGTAAGTAACTTTTCAAGTTAGCAAGGAAATGGTTCGATTAAGTCTATCGCTATTCATAAGTTCAGCTAAGTTAAAGTCCGTCGTGAGAAAACGAACTGGATGTGTAGCTATGCTCACTTTAACAAAGCAGTAGAAGCACAATGAAACAGTGATGGCTTATCGTTGGTGTGTGCTGTGAATGCCATCTCCTATATTATTAACTTCAGGTCATCCGTGTCGGAAGGTAAACCAGAGCTCATGTCCGAGGTGAGCGAGAATCAACCGGGATGTAGAACAATCAGGCAATCCATTGTGTGTTCAATATTTATTTCCCCCTTGTCATTCGTTCTGACCGCTATCATATCTCGACCAGTTCGTCAGTGCCTAGAATGTAATCTGCACCCAAGCATTTCGATTTGGACATCACATCATGTTGCCGCTGTTCCGGAATCAACCATGATGACTTGTCTGAATCTCCATGTGTTTACCTGAAGACGGCAGCAGTACAATGGGGCGTATAGAGGCACTTGAGATGTGATACATTGACCCCATATTGTCACCCGCAATGCTTCAGGGTGTCACACGAGAAGAAATGTCATAATACCCATCTGTCAAGTGGGAACGTAGCGAGACACGAACTGAAGTTAACGCGACTGGCAATTTGGGCGAGCCCCAGTTAGAAGTGTGGCGCTTACAAGTGTTTCTAAATGGTTTCCGCATAGTCATTCAACATGAGATATCAGTTGACATACCAAAGGTCCCTGGTTCGAGTTGCAGTACTGCGGTGTTGTGAACGGGCATTTGTCCACACTTGTGTATGAACTACCACAAACGGGATGGAGAAACAATAACCCTCATGATCGATAACACTACGAACTTGCGCGAGTATGGATTAAATGTAAGAATAACAGCAATATTTCGCTAGTGTTGGAAGATCTCACATACAATTATAAGCAACCAATACGACTGTCGTTGGTTAGTTAACATTTCAGCGTCAACCTAAAAATGGCAGCCATGAATTTAGTCAGAAGTGTGGGCATCAACAATAGATACAGATATGGAAACACCGAAGCAAATGCCATCAATACGGTTACCAGATGGAATGATGCACAAATAAAGGTACCAAAAACTGCTCGGTTACTGTGTATTGTAGATGCGGTCTGCTCTATGCGCTAGTAGATGATAATATCATACATTCTCTGATGGCCACTTTGACGTTATCACATCCCTAACAGGGGGTAAATTCCGCTGCTCCCTGTTCTACCTTCGGCTTTTGAAAGAGTGTGAAAACTGGTTTAGCAAATTTACAAGAAGTAGCTTGCACAACATCTAATTACTCAGTCGTAGGCAAATGTGGTGATAAGGTACTGATGTCACCGACACAACCGCTTAGGGCTCGAGTGCCACGTAACAACTACCTTCGTCCAATCAAGAAACAAAGCCGAAACGTTACCTCAAGCGCAGTATGTACATACCTCAGTCCCAGAAAAAACCGGATGTTTGCAGGGTAAAGAAAGAAGGCGAATCACCTCAATTGCTACCGTTCAAAACGATCACAATACAAAGTACTGCGCGCAATTGGCTCTCCTCCTTAAATGCATTCAACAACCATACGGTTGATGCGGTTCGCTTCACACCGCATCAAATGGTGGGTATAGTCTGTCTCCGGGACAATGGGGAATGTAGGGAATACCACGGTGGATGACAACCAGTGACTGGAGAATATATCAAATGGGTATGTGGTGGGACACCTGGGCATACTACAAACTGTTGGTATTATGATACCTAACAGCCGGGTTTGGAATGGCTAGGAAAACAACGAACAAGCAAATCTCCATACCCATGGTGCGATTTGCAATGAAAACATGGAGCATTGTATAGTTAATCGCATGAGGGTAGACAAATAATGGGTTTGAAGAGCCTCGGCACACATATATATATATATATATATATATATATATATATATATGCATATGATTTGCACTGTGTGTCGGTGCTTTTGGGGGTACTGCAGTTCCTACTCCAGCTTGGACAAGCTTTTTCTTTTCGCCATCTAACCCTAGTGTTGCGTCATTTTCTTTACACGAGAAGCCTTACTGTATAGCGTGGCAACCCTCTTTCGATTTTTGGCTTGTTATACTTGTTGGAGAAACAGAATTTCGAACACTTACCAGCACCTGTTTTTCTGTTCCAGGTCGAGGTGGAGGACGGGGGCGGGGAGGTGACTCTCGAGGAGGTCGCGGTCTCTCCCGTGGGGGTCGCGGCAGCTTTCGCGGGGATTTCCGGGGTGGTCGAGGTGGCGCTCGAGGCGACTTTCGTGGTGGTCGTGGGGATCATCGAGGTGGGCGCGGAGAACACCGAGGTGGTAATCGTGGGGAGTATCGAGGCGGACGTGGAGAACATCGAGGTGGTGGTCGTGGCGATTCTCGTGGTGGCTGGGGTGATTCCAGAGGTGGTCGCGGTGGCCGTGGACGTGGCGACTTCCGTGGGGGCCGAGGGGATTTCCGCGGGCGAGGAGCCAGCAATTCCTTTGTTGCCAAAAGAGAATCAGGGGATTCACTTGGCTCTGGTGAGGCCAAGAAGATGCGTTTCGATGAATGAGCCCCTGTGTTCCGACATGTGTTGTACAGCACTGTTTAGTAATACATTCACAATTTTTGACTCGCCTCAAAATGCATCACTGTTCTCTTACGATCTATCAGTCAAAGCGCGATTATTCCCGTTACTCGGACCGATGTCACCATACTAGTAATGCTCAGTTTAACGAGTATAGGAAAATATCTGGCATTCGAAAAGCGAAAACTAAAAATATTAAACAGCTCCCGCTACTATCCAACAGCTCACCTGTGGCTTCGTGACTACATCTTGTCAGCTCTGTTTACCATCCTCTGGTCTTCGCGCCTCATTTGAATGGATGACGCCCATCGCGGGTACTGCAGTTTTGCCTTCCCAACTCTTCCTTTTCTCCACACGTTTCTAACAAGTTTGCTCCCAAGCTTACGTGTACACTCCACAGTGCCTCGTGATTTTGTATTTAGGACAACGTGGTTTATCTACTTTAAGTGATTCAATTACCTAAGTCTGTGTTCTTGTGCTACCCTGGTTAGCGTTGCTTGACATCCTCCTCATGTGATCCATTCGTTTTCGTTGTTGCCTATCGGCAAACGCATTCTCACACATGACATCAGGTAACTCATTATCAGTATCGCAGCGGTGAGCATCTGTGGCGCTCACGGAATTGATCGGGGGCTCGCTTGCCTGAATTCAGTCAAGTTTTATGGGTCGATCACCATAATGTTTGGAGTTGGACACACCAAGAACACGATGCAACTAACCTAGGTGATTTTAACAGGTGCGAATGCATCAACCACTGGACTTCAGTGTTGTTCTCGCTACGCTCCTACTGATCATCATACCACTCCGTAGGCGCCGGTGTGATTGTTTCTGTTCTGTACAAGCTTTAACGAAGCATTACCAAGTTCTTGATTTACAGACTTTGAACTGCCATCGAGTTTACCGACATGTTCTGTAACGTTCTCAGTGATGTAACCATAAGTGAAACGGCGAGTCCGTTCAAGCAGCTCTCCAGCACAACTTGGAACTGAGTAGCCTATCCGCTCAGTTCCATCACCATGTCCTACATTCTGTACGCCGAAGCTCATATCAGACAGTGCATCACTGTTTCAATCTACCTACACCTTTTCCCGATTGGTTGCATCCATAGTGCAAGTGAATTGCTCCCTAGCGATTTGATTTGCGTCTTTAAGCCGATTGAACATGCTCACTATACCATTTCTCACTTGCTAACATCTTTAACGCAATCGCTTACATCCTTAGTGCAGAAGCTTTCCTCCTTAATGCAAAGGCTATCATCCGATAATCATCGCACTTGCATCCACGTAGTACTGCGTGGACAGATGCTACCAACCAATAGAATTCAGTATAGTGTAGAGATTGAACACAGTTACGCGCCGAATACTCACGCTTTCGGAGGTGGGTAGAAAAACTGTGAGACTTGAATGAGACTGGCGTGGTCCAACTCAAATGGACGGCGATTGAGACTTTACTAAACGGAGCTCAGCCGGTGCACCGTGTGCCGCGCACCCTCACTGGACAATGGGGGTGTCTGAGACATCCATGGGAGTGCGCACAGTCCCTGAGGGAAGGGAAACTCGTGCGCTCAGAGCACCGGGTATAAGCCTGAAGTGTAGTCAAGCCCCTTTTGTAAGTGAGCAAAGGAGATGTCTGAGGTTAGGACGCAAGTGATGCACGCAGGACAAGAGTGCCCAACGTTAGCTTGGTACTAAAAAGGGTGCTCTAAACAAGAGGCGCAGATAGGTTGCCTCGTTTTGGTGTGTATTCAGGCTAGTTCGGTCGGATAGTTGAAGGCGCAGTGGAAGCTACCGTTTGACCTCGAAGTCAAGTTGTCCGTAACATAAGGAGCGGAACGATCTCCGTCGCAGCAGAATGGATACCAGTCACTACACGTAACTTCTTTCTTTATGCGATGAAATATCATTTTTGTGACGGATCCACATGTCTAATTTGAACGTGGGGTAGACGGTAATCAAATTCGAAACAATTCCCTCCCCCCATACGAACCACGCAGGTCAAATCTGACCGAGGTAGACAGGACAGCTCCCGGGTGGAATGATATAACCACCAATGGAGGGATGAAGGAGGCATGTGATAGATGTTTGATTGCAGCCTTGCAATTTTCTTTCAAACGTTATGTTAAACAGTGAATTATATTACTTTCCTCCTTGTTTAGCAAGTACGTAGACGTGTAATCTTTTGTTGCGAAGGGATTACACTACAAGCAGCTGGTCTCGTGAAATATGGGGGTATTGCGGGCCGGTGCACTCTACGGCAGATGTCCCTAACCCTTGTATCGCCGTGGACCGGTCATTCATTCATTATACACGTCAGCTACTGTGCCGCAATACATAAAGGAAAAGGAAAATAAATATAACAGTTGTATGCCAGCTGAGCTACCAGCAACGGATAGGCATCGCTCCTTTGAGCTACCAGCCGGCTACTGAGCAAAAAGAAAAATTATTGTGTTTTACGCTCCGTGGACCGGTCGGCGTTTGATAACGGTATCCCGGCCCGCTGAGGGGGTTTGTTGAACGTTTACATTTTAAGTTCGAAGTTTACATTTTAGGTTGTTTTGGGTGAATACTTTTAATGTAATTGTGATTGAACCTGCCTTGCAAATAAAATCCAGTTACACCAAAGATAGATATAAAGTGATATAATACGTTAACTCGATAGGACGCTAAATTACGGACAACCATGAGCGTATTTCTCTGCAACGAGACTGCTCCATCTGGGGGAATTAGGAGACAATGACATTTGATGTGCTGCGTAGGTCCAGTTAATTTATTTGTTTCGTTTCGGCTGCTGACACTGCGGAAAACCCCGCTTCACACAGTTAGGTTGTCAGAAATGATAATCTGCGCTTAATTCACTATGACTTTAATTGCAAAACACCGGCGAAGCTGTTTGTCACGAACGTACTATCAGGGCCGCCGCCATTTGCAATCTCAGTAGTGGTGTATAATGTCGGATAGATGAGTAATAATAATGTGGTAATCTCGCAGATTGTGAGTCAACAGTTTAGAAACTGACCTATAAATCGTCGAAATTCACAACCTTTAAAAAATCGTACACACATTTCTACTGTCATAATCGCTATCCACCAGATGAAAAAATATCAAATAAAATGTTCTGTTGCTTGGCAATTGAAATGAAAGGAATTTACTTTTTCCCTCACGTCCAGAAAAAGTGCAAGTATGCCAGTGTGTCCGCTATGTATTGCTTAGGAGCGCGAAATATCAACTTCACCCTGTGTGTCTGTGGATGTATACGTTTTCAGAACGTTTGTAGAATGTTTTTCCTGTTGGTAGTCTGATTCATTATTCACATCCTCAGATGCTAATTTGATGGGGTTGGCAGGTCCCAGTTTATTTCTGTTGTGTGACATGTTTGGAAATAAAAATCAACCAGATGGCTGTCTGCCGGTTTGCATCCAAGCAATTCCTTTGAGAGAGTATCCATAGCATTTGCTTTTGAAAGAGGCACAATTTGCTCATATGTCTCAGGTCAAGTTTGCATTGTTCTCACAAAATCTATTTCTGCAGTACAAGGAAACATCACTTTAAAATACAGAGATGGTTCAGTTCTGCACCTCCTTCCAGGTAGTAGTTATGTAGAACAGGACGTCTAATAAATTTACTCGTTTCATGAAATCAGTTCCGGACATACCTTTGTGGGATTCCATGATCGGTATAAGATGGAGAAGCTGTTTTTCTCCTAAATTCGCTTTAGGCGCCTGAATGACACTTGGATCGTACGGTCGAAGTAACACAGTGGTGTTGGGTGACAAGAACTGCAATTTGATAATAAGTAGGTGGAATTAGGGAGAGCAAAGGCTTTGTCGACAGAAGGTATGATGTTGCGTTTTTCTGTATTTTGCTGTTAAATCTTCGGAAATAGCTGCAGTCATCTATACCTTCTTTTTATCCTGGTAAACTGCCGGTGTTTTTAAGGTTGATTTCCAAATCAATGCAGCCGGTTCTCGCTCCCCCAACGTGGTAGTGCACAGCATAACTGTGATACACGCCTTTGCTTCTTTTCCCAACTGTGTATTTCTATCCTTCTACACAAAGCCTTTATCCGACGTCGTTTTGAATAGCAAAACAGTTTCATGTGAATTAAAAATGTCTTGAGCTTGTGTAGCCGGAACATATTTCGGGCAACTTTTCTGCCTAGTCGGATGCAGCACACATATCTGAGTCATCGCTTTCGCCCGATTGCTTACCAAACACAAGATCGTCTTCTGATGAAAGCCAGTAGCCAACTGTTTGACGATGTAAAGTCGGTGTTTTGCTATTCTTTTGCGAAGCGTATTACTCGTGTCCAGATAATGGGATTTTCCCGTCAGTGCTGACTGGCACTATTTCCAACAACGTGCGCTCATGTATTTGTTACCCATTTTCTATCATTCTTTCTTTTCAGTCTTTGTGTGTGATTCACGAAGTCATACAAAAACGGCTTTCCTCTTTTATGTTACATGGATTTGTGTTCTTCCTACTCTGACATTTTGCGCCAATGTTGGCGAACTGTTACTTCTTACATCGTCGAATCACTGATACCATTTCTTTAAGTGTGAATGTGTTTGGCTTTGCTGAAATGGAACTAGCCATTTTGTCCTTCGTAAGAACGCTCAAAAAGAACCATAAAAACGAACACGAATATTCAGTAAGAACATACGTCAGCAGTACCCGCTCAGTTCTGACAATCGACTGGTTACACAGTAAACAAATACACACAGAAATTGATAGTCACAGTACTTGCGACTGTATAACAGTATCACAAATTCCAGAGTGCGCGAGGGGAGTACCACTGCTCTTTTATTGTGTAACATGGCTCTATCAGATTTGTTCATTGCACAGCCCATAGCAGCGTACATGCATTAGTTAAACTGCGTGAAAAGCCGGGGGTGGGGGAGTGATGCGTCATTCGACAATTCTAGTGTGGCTTCTCCATGTCGTAGCTTGTCCACCGCGCCTGTCCACCAACCGCGAAGAACGCGCAAC